GGGTTTATAGGCCCTGAACCCTATATACCCTTAACCGAACCTCTAGACCCTAAGCCCTAAGTATAGCTTTCCAGGTACCTACTATATAGGGCCTTACGGGCTCTAGTACCCTATATAGTAGGCACCTGGGGGTTAGGGTAAGCATAGCTTTCTAGCCTCCAGGTGATGTCCCTTGGACCTTCGCGGGCTGCGTACCGCCCAGCGCATCAGAGAAGAAAGCTATCCTTGCTGCTCTTATCTCGGTTTTAGGGTTTAGGGTTTAGGGTTTAGGGTTTAGGGGTTTAGGGTTTAGGGTTTAGGTACCCTAACCCCCCAGGTGCCTACTATATAGGGTACTAGAGCCCCTAAGGCCCTATATAGTAGGTACCTGGAGGGTTAGGGTCACATAGGGTGTTCAGGGCCTAGGAGTATCTTTAACGTTTAGGGAATTGAGTGCTTGGGCTCATTTGCAAGTATTGGTCGCATAACAGGTCGGGTAACTAGACTCTGGACTTCTGCAGCATGTTTCTCAAAACCAACGACCATTGAACGGTTCAGGTCTTTTTGCCTGGGACCTGAACTCTACACCCTAAAACCCTAAGTCAGAAACTGATTTTTGTTCAAGCAATTAGTTTAATAGTTACCATAATGGGGATCTGTCTATAGTAAACAATGCGAGACCCTCTGGATGCATCGGCAGAGAGAGATAGAGCGATGTAGTGAACAATGTGATCTCCCTAATCTGGCAACATGCATTTTCAATCTTCAGAAAGAACACGGCAAACCTGAGCCATTACAGTTCCTGGAGCAAAATCGAAACAGATCCCCGAGCTCTGCCGTTTAATGCTCAAAGCTGTATAAGATTAGGGTTTCGAACTTTTTGAGTTTAGGGTTAGGGTTTCGAAGTTTTGAGTTTGTGTTTATGTCTTAGAAGTTTGTGGTCTTTGGGGCTCTTTCGGATTCCTCAGACGGACTTCAGGGTTTTAGACTGTCCTTCTTCTACCTCAGAGAGATGGCCCACAGCAGCGCATAAAGCGCATCTAGGGGTAGTTCTCGATTGTATTCTCCAAAACAGTACCTATAGGTGTTCGTTTGGGGTCACTGTTTAAGCGTTATCGGTACTTGTGACTACTTGTGTATACATGTGCCCACATGTTTCTGTATGCTGAGCTTGATGGTACTCCCGGTTGTGGCGAAACGGTGCTGAAGTTGCTACAGCCTGTGTGCGCCTACACCTGTTGCTATCCCTCAAGGCCCAAGTAAGTAAACACCGCTTATACTTACTGGCTTATGCCGGCCTTAAAGGAAGACCTATGTAGCTCTGCCAAAGGTATATCTCACGCAGGCACTTGAACGTGGGTTCTAGTGCTCAAAGTAGCCCTAGATCTTTCTGCAGTATGGTCTCTGGACCCGGAACCCGGAGAAAAGCATGAGTTGTTATCACCCCCGTGCAAAACATGACCGAATACCTGCCAAGTGTACTTTCGAGACTGCCATACAAGAGCCAAAAAGCATCATCCCCGCAAGTGCGACCGTTGTGCGCCTCGCGCAGGCATCGGATCGTCACGAAAAGGTGGCTGCCTCGGTTTGGGCATCGAACCTGAAACAAGTGGTACTATAAGAGATACTCTCCGCCTGGTTACTAAGAGGGTGTCTTCGATAAAGTCACTACACGGCGCGCACCGAGGGTTCCAATGCAATGGGGTTGCGAGGTCTATACAGGCTACCTTGTATCCATCTTTCAACGATTTGACTATTTTCTTGCCTTGCTGAGATGTCAAGATTGTCGGAAATTGTAAATCATCGAAATGGTCCTTGCGCGGCTTTGCCAAGGTCACGGGCCTTGTGTGCACATGCTTCCGCACTGGTTTTGTTCTTGTGGGGTATACCGGGACAATCTCAAACGACACTGTCAGGGTTATGGCGGAAGCATCGCTTCCGGGAGTCTTCGCATAGACTATTTACCGGATCAGGGGGCTTAGAACTATGGCAACTACGATTGCCTAATTATGTGTGGCACGGCTTGAGGTCCAATATTCACACTTACTATTTCCCCGACCACGTCCTTTCACTGCTGTTGACAGAGCCCGATTCCGTCCCGCAGCACAGCCGGTCTTTTTTAGAAGCCTGAACCTTATTTTATTTCTAAGGTTCCTCTATATACGTATAGCATGGCAGGCACCGCACTATTAAGGCCACGAGCTTAGACGGCTCCAGGGGTCGTCCAGGCTGGGTAGCCGGACTCGTTTTGTGTCCCGTATACTAACCTTCATCGATGCCATGTAGTAGCTTTTTTAAGACCCGGTAAAGGACCCCTTCTAAAGGAACCCCTATGGAAGCCTTTTTAGAAGCCATTACGGTAAAGGACCTTTTCGCGGAACCCCTTTAGAAGCCCTTTTAGAACCTCTTGAAGATCATACTGAAGGAACCCTTAAAGGAACCTTCTAGTAGCCCTGCATCCTACGCCCAAAACTCCAAAACCCCAAAGCCTAAACCCGAAAGCCAAAGCCCTATATAAAGTTTTCTTCTACAGGAAGCCATCGGACTCCCTGCCGGCGCGGTGCCGAACAGGCGAAACCTTCCCCTGTCCCGGATTCGTTTCCGCATTTGAGTGTTACGGGTTTGGGTTTTGGGGTGTGTTTCCTAATGTGTGTGTTTTGTTCGTGGGTTTGGGCTTCAGGGTCTTAGGGTTTTAGTTGTTCTTGTTTGGGGTTTTGGGTTTTAGGGTTTGGGCTTTAGTTGTTTTTGTTTGGGGTTTGTGTTTTAGGGTTTGGGCTTTAGTTGTTTTTGTTTGGGGTTTGGGTTTTAGGGTTTGGGTTTTTGTTGTTTTTGTTTGGGGTTTGGGTTTTAGGGTTGGGGTTTTCGTTGTTTTTGTTTGGGGTTTGGGTTTTAGGGTTGGGGTTTTCGTTGTTTTTGTTTGGGGTTGGGGTTTTAGGGTTTGGCTGTTGTTGTGCCTTTTCGGGTTTGGGTTGAGGGTTTCGGGTTCAGGGGTTTTGGAGCCTGCCCTAAACTGACCAGACACTGAACCCGAAACTCTGAACCTGAAACCCAAACATGAGTTAAACTCTAAAGCAAAACATGAGCCC